GTACAGTATACTTTTTATATACAGTATATAGTATACTTCGCTGTATAAAACAGGTCTTATAGGTGATGGTAAATTTAGATATTGTATAATAGTGGTTTCAAACTCATATAGAAATGGGAGCCATTACAGTGTATATAAGAATCCCTGTGGGCCACTTATTGACTAAGAAAACCACATATTAGCATTATCTATGTTCTATTGCATTTTCATTTATTTTTCTTAAATATTCCCCAGTTACATTTTAATCTGATTTGGGTAGCACTCAGGAGTGTTGTGGGCTACAATGTGGCCAATGGGCCATGAGTTTGACCCCTCTGTTGTATAAGTATTTTTTGGCTTGGAGATGATTCTTGATAAACTTCTTATGCAAAAATGTCCTTTTGTTGAATGGCATTTTATTCTCTCCAAATCATAAGAGCTACAAAAAGCGTGTGATGAGATCCATGTGGTTAGGTAATCTAGCATAAATGATAGAGCACGAGTGAGGAAACTAAGCCTTATCTTGTTCAACCATATTAAGCCAAAATAAAGTTTATGTGTTTTTTTTTTAACTAGAGGAGAAAGTTTTGTCCCTGAGCTATAAAAGTTAGTCTTCCCCATACAAAATAAAAACTATCCAGTTGATTGACAAACCAGACATACTTCAGAGAATGCATGCCAACTTTTTTTTTTCTTTGTCCAGGGTAGTGATTTCAGTGGTGGAAGGAACTCTCAAAAAGGACATTTCCTCTATCAGTGCAAAGTCATTTGTTATGCAGCTTACACACTTGCATATATATAGACACATGTATCTGTACATGTATATATACATTCACATAGATACATATACACATTGCATGTATACACATAAACATATGCAGTTATCCCTTCCACACCGTAGGGGTTAGGGGTATGGCACCACCGCATTCTGGAAAATCCATGTAAAATTGTTTTGGCCCTCCCTTCATACCAGAGAAGAACTCTGAAGCTTTTTCTTGTGTGGGGTGTTTACAATATCTTATTGTATTTTGGTTTTTATTTGTTTGTTTGTTTGTTTTGGCTAGGCAATGAGGTTAAGTGACTTGCCCAGGGTCACACAGCTAGTAAATGTTATGTGTCTGAGGCCACATTTGAACTCAGGTCCTCCTGAATCCAGGGCTGATACTCTATCCACCTACCTGTCCCATACAGTATCTTATTGTAAAATTGGGTTAAGTATTTGGTCATAGGCTCTGTGTCATCTGCTGGCCTTCATGTGTCATCTGCAGCTTCCACAAAACTCCCCCCAAAGTCCCATTTAATTTCTTATGTCGACCAACAATATATCAAAACTGTGATGTGGAAAGTCATGGTATGGAAGAGATAACTATATATATACATATATGATTTTATATAGATATCTATCAATCTAGCTGTTGTTCTATCTGGATATGTCTAAGGCAAGCCCTTCAGGATGCCTCCACATTAGACATTCTGGGCATGCCCCAAAGACCCCTGGGGTGTGTGTGTGTATATGTGTGTGTGTGTGTGTGTGTGTGTGTGTGTGTGTGTGCACATGTAAAAGACTTAACCTAGATTTTTCTGTCTCAATGGCCTGCTCTATTGACTCATACCAACATCTACAAACTTAAAAAAACACCTAAGAAAACAGGATTATGAGCAATACTGATGTTTAGCAAAAAATGGCCAGCACAAAATTTACTGACCTGTTTACGATATATTGAGAATTTTCCTATGTGACTAAACACGGGAACACGTACCTCACGCTGCTGCTGTTCAGAACATATATTGGGACGTCACATAGTATGTAAGAGAATAAGACAACTAATTGCTTTTTACTTTATCATTACCTTCTATTATTTGACTTGTGTTTTTAATGAGACAGCTAGGTGGTGCAGTGGTTAGAGTTCTAGGCCTGGAGTCAGCAAGACTCATCTTGAGTTCAAATCTGGCCTCAGACACTCACGAGCTGTATCACTCTGGGGGAGTCACTTAACCCTGTTTGCCTCAGTTTCCTCATCTGTAAAATGAGCTGGAGAAGGAAATGGCCAACCACTCCACTCACTGTCTTTGCCACGGTTTGAATCTGTCTTTCCTGACTAAACGAGATCATGAGGAGTCAAAAGCAGCCAGAATGACTGAACAACTTCTTTTTGATTGCTGTATGGTACTAAGTTATTTCTTCATGGCCAAAGATTTGTTTTTTCTTAGTTCCAGGTTTTTAATTTAACCTAAGGAAGTTTTGTTAAGCATTTATTTTGTGCAAGGCAATCTGCTAGGCACTGGGGAAGATATAAAGACAGATATAATATACCCTTTCCTTTCTGGATTTATCATATAATGTTGGAGAAGGACAGAATCCAGGAAATGTGCTTTGAAAAAATAGAAATGAGGTCATTTCAGATGGTTGAGAGTTTCAGAAAGATTACGTCAAGCTAATCTAGATTTTCCTATATTTTTTCCCAAGAGGAGCCAGTTGGTATAGAGGGAAAAGATGGAACCAAAGTCAGGAAAGACAGATTCAAACCCTGCCTCCAGTATCAGCTACATGACCAGCTACTGAACTTCATTTCCTTTATTTGTAAAATGAGGTTAATAATACCTGTAGTACCCACTTCACAAGACTCTTGTGAAGCTCAAATGAGTAGAAAGCACTTTGTCAACTATAAAGAACAATTTCAATGTCACCTAGGTGAGGGTGTGTACAATACACATGAGAAAGGTTTTCACAAAAAAAGAATTGAAACAAAAGTTTTGGTACGTAAAGGGACAATATTCATTTATCCAAAAAATTCCTTTATCCAGAAAACCAAATCCCATAACTCTTCTGATTACCTGAGGCTCTACTCACTGTATCTAGATGAACTTCTTTAGAATGCATTCAGAATACATTATTCCCATGTCTGTGAAAAATTGTATTGATGTATGTAAATACACAAAATATATAAATTATATTACGTACATATACACATACACAAAGAGGTACATCCTTCATCATTTCAGGAATTTATGCTCATGTATTTGGAGACCTGAGTACAAATCCAGCTTCATAAACTTCATAGCTGTGTGACCCTGGACAAGTACGTCACCTCTTTTTGCCTCAGTTTTCTCATCTGTAAAATAGGGATGATGGTAATTGTAGCTACCTCTCAGGGTCATTGTGAAGGATCATATGAGGTAATATTTGTAAAGCATTTTGCAAACCTTAAAGTGCTATATAAATGCTAGGTATTCTTTTTTGTGGTTGCTAAGAATTGGAAATTGGGGAACGGCTAAACAAGCTGTGGTATATGACTGTGATATATATTGTGCTATAAGAAATGACAAGCAAGATAATTTTAGAAAAACCTGGAAAGACTTACATGAACTGATGCAAAGTGAAATGAGCAGAACCAGGAGAACTTTGTACACAGTAACAGCAATATTGTACGATGAAGAATCGTCAATGAGTTAGCTCTTTTCAGCAATGCAATGATCCAAGACAATCCCAAAGGATTAATGATGACGCCTACTATCTGCCTCCAGAGAAAGAATGGATATCGTTTGAATACAGATTGAAGCGTGCTATTTTCCTTTTTTCTTTTTTTCTTTTTTAAAATTTTAAAATTTTAAAGATTTTCTTAATTTTTTTAAATATAAATTTATTTATTTTTAGTTTTCAACATTTACTTCCACAAGATTTTGAATTCCAAATTTTCACTGCATCTTGCCCCTCCCAAGCATGCTATTTTTCACTTTCTTTCTTTCATTCTTTTTCTTTTATTTGTGTCTTCTTATATGAAATGACTAATATGGAAATATTTTACATGATTGCACATGTATTATCTATATCTGATCGCTTACCATCTCAGGGGAGGAGGGAAGTGAGGAATGGAGGGAGTGATAGAATTTGGAACTTAAAACTTTAAAAAAAACCCCAAATGTTTAAAAATGGTTTTAACACATACTTAAGGGGAAAATAAAATATACTAAGGAAAAAAATATTAGCTATTATAAATAAGTATTGCTATCCCTTCTTTAAATGATTTTAAGCACTATATAAATGTTACATAGCTATTATTAGATATTCATGGAAGCATAAAATTTTAGCACTAGAAGGGACCTTACAGATCAACTTGTTCATGTTCAGCCTCCTTATTTTATAGAAGAGGAAACTAAAAGAGGCAGTAGCACGTTCAGTGTCACACAGCTAGTCAGGGGTAGCTGAGAGCAGGCCTAGACCTTATGTTACTAAGGGGAAATTAGAACCCTGAATTGAATGAATTTTCCCAGTAGTAAATAGATTCTATATAATTTTCAACACTACATTAAGTACAACTTTTGAAAAAAACATGGAAAAATACATAGTGATAAATTTCTTTCAGCAGTAAAATAACTAAAAAGTAATAGAGTTTATCACCGTCATTTCAATGCTGCTTGCTTGAAAAGTTTAGCCAGGCTACTGTTGTCTGGAGTCAAGGAGCTTGACTCTCTTGGTTTGTGGTCCTCATACATGCATACATATATACATACATACATACATGCATGCACACACATGAATCAGAATGTTAGTTCTAGAAAGGACCTACAAGAAGTCCAACTCATTTATTTTATAGACAAGGGAAAAGGAGGACTTGCCAGACAGCTGGTGAGAGGCACAGCCCTCCTTCCCCAAGGCCTGTGGAGGTAAAAGATTAGCCAGTTGAATCATCACCTGAACTGCATCATTCTATTTAATTGCCCTCATTTGTAAGCTGAAACCACTTTTCACTGACAATCAGTATTTATTTTCCTGAAAGAATCTGATACAAGCTAATCGAAAGTAGCTACTTATGTGTGAATGATGGTTATTTATATTTTGGTAGCTTTTCCTGAAAAAATATCCTAAGTTTTAAACCAGAGTTATAATGTATTATTTTAGTAAAAATCTACTTTTACTATCAATGGTTAATCCCCAAAAGTCATAATTTTTAAGGAAAAATAGCCAAGATAATGATGATACATAGTATAGAATCTATTTAATAATTGTTTTCCCTTTCTAGGTCCCCTACAATGGCTGGAGGTATTTTTGCTATAAACAGACAGTATTTCTTTGAAATCGGACAGTATGACGGTGGTATGAATACCTGGGGAGGAGAAAATTTGGAAATTTCATTTAGGGTAACTCAGACTTTATGCTTGTTAGATTAATAGCTTTCTATGTTAGAGAACAGAGTCTGCTATTCATCCAGGGTTCCCCACTTTCTACTCATTTTCCCACATTATTATCACCAAACTGTGTTTAGCCGATGCCAGTGAATATATATCTTGGAACTATACTAGTATATGTAATTAATTACATATAAGAAAAATGGTATCAACAACAAAAAGTAAGAGGAAAGGGAGTTAGGAACAATACTTATGACTTTAAATTTCTCTGTAACAAATGCACCATGTGGATCACAAGCAGCGTTCATTTTATTCTTAACCTCCAAAATTTATGAATAGAGGAAAAAGCTCTATATTAGAGTCACAAAAAAAGTTCTTATCTTGTCCTACAGGTCATTAATAATGCTCCTAAGCAAGATGAAAATTGGTTCTGTAATTTGTCACTTATAGGTTATCATAGGGTTTAGAGCTGAAAGGGACTTTGGAGATTATCTAGTTCAGCCTCTTCATTTTGCAGATAAGAAAGCCCCAAACATGTTCAGTGACTTGGCCAAGCTTGTGCAAACAGGAAGTGACAGAGCCAGGACTCACCAGCCTTGGGTCAGCCCCTCTGGGTGAGCTCAGCACCAATAGGATATACTCAGATACACTTCCTGGACCTGGAGTCCAATGCTGGTGACCTTATTTCTGCAGCTTTGATCAGTTGAATGGCACTTGCTTCTGCTGTCCAGGTTTACCACTCTACCAGTTGTTTGGGATGCTCTCAAGGTGCCCTTTTTCACTGCCCACTTCTTTCATACTAACACCTCACTCCTGCTGCAGGTTTGACTTTACCCTTAGGATGGGAGGGGTTAGTTTGTCAGTCAAAATCTGGCCAAATCATCAGTGTGACTCAGAAGGGGATTAAGGAGGCCTGAAGAATCATAGATTGGGACTTCTGCCTAAAGCACAAGTCATTCCTTCCTATCACCCTTGGCAATGCTACACTAGGACAATAACTTTATTATTTAGGCAGTGAGGATCCATTACAGATTTTTGAGCAGAGGAGTGACTGGATCAGAGCCATGGATGAGGAAAATTACTAGGTCATCAAGCGTGAAGAATGAATAAGAAAGGGGATAGACCTGACACAGGAAAACCTATTGAGCCAGTTAGAAGCTCTTTTCATTTTCAGATGAAATGAGATAAGGGCTTGTACTCGAATGGTTGTGGTGAGAGTGGAAAGAAAGGGACAGATTTGGAAGTAGAAATGATAGGAGTAGACAACTGAAGCTCCAGGGCTTTGCATAAAAATATATTATTGCTACTCACTGTCCTATACCCACATCATCTCCCACTCCAACAAAGGCACTCCCAGAAACAGAATAAGAGGAGCTCTTAGCTGATTTAGATAAGCTATGTAAGGCAACCCTGATTAATAAACTCATTTGTGAAGAGCTGCCATATGTAGGAAGGATTAGACAATTTGTTTAGAAGAAGGCAGAACTAAATGGAAATTACAGGGATGGGGGAGCCGATTTTAGTTTAACATAAGGAATAGCTTTTTAACCATTAGAAACTATTTAAAATGGAATGGGCAATCTTATGAGCACTGAATCCCTTCTCCTGTCAGAGAGGATCCCTGCATTAGTTGGGAGATTAGAAAAGATGAAACTCAAGGTCCTCTCTAACTCTTATATTCTATGATTCGATTAAGATAATATATAAGAGTATTCAACCCTCAGAGTATTATCTGGTAATATTTCAATATAATTAGATACAATAGTCTGCCAAGTTTTGTGAGGATCTGTATCAGAGTCATTTTCAAAGAACAGTAATCGCATCTCACAGTCAGAAGATGTTAGTTTGTGTTCCTTTTCTTGTGGTTAGATCTGGATGTGTGGGGGCAAGCTCTTCATCATTCCTTGCTCTAGAGTTGGACACATTTCCCGTAAAATGTTATCACACAAAGCTCATGAAATCGTGGACTCTTTGCAGTATAACTCTCTGCGGCTGGTACATGTTTGGTTGGACGAATATAAGGTAAGAATTAATGCCTAATTTGAAAAGGGGAGTGAGAGGCACAGTAACTGCTATGGTTATGCTTTCTATTCCTTCCCTCTTCCAGTTTCAAATCCATTTATGCTCACATTTGATTGGCATCTTCTTTATTTCTATCCTCCTCTTTGGGGAGGAGGTTTCATTATTTTCCCTGCTTATTCATCTTCATTATTCACCTCCCTGTCAATTCTGATTCTTATTTTTACTTTACTCTGTAAGAAACTTTAAATTCCTTAGAGGTAAGTCAGGCAGAGGTCAATATAAGTTCCTTTTCTCTCTTACTCACTTCATCTCTTCTTGGCATTATTCCCTTGGATCTATTCCTCACAGTAAATGAATGTATCCCTAGCCAACACGGCCTAGCTCCATTCCATCAGTTATTGGATCTCTAATTAGTTTCTATTTCCCATCTTCTCTCTGCCAGGGCCCAAGGGAGGACACATGGGTTTTGGAACTTGATGTTTCCAGTTTCCATAGCCAGCAGAGGGCAGCAATGCCCCAGCAGTGATGTTGTTTTGGTTATAGCCAAAAGAGTAGCGGGGAAACAAGGCAATAAACCACAAAAGTGGGTGCTAAGGAAGTGTCACTTGATGGAGAATGAGGAGTACATGGAAGAGGCTTAGAGAGTGTACCCTGTGATGTAAAAGAAGGAAGGTAGTATGGGAGCATAGTTAGGATACAGCCCTAGAGTCCAAACCCTAGGAAAGAAGTCTAACAAATCAATAAGGCTTGAAGGGAGCCAACAGGAGTATAATTCATCAAGATGTCAGAACTAGAGTCAAGGAAGGCAAAATCAGGAGAAGCAGACAAGTCATCAGAGTAGACAATAGAAGCAGCCATGGCTCACCAAAAGGACTCTATGTCTGAGGGAGGGGTTTTGAGGGAGGGGTTTTGACCGACGGGATTTTTAGCTGCCACATCCTTCTCAGGATCTTTAAATGCCAGCACCTCAGCTGGCTAGGACCTGTTTTCCCTTCGGCCATAGTCAAAAGTTTGACAGCATCAAAAATGAGCAAGATGCTCATCTCCATTGATATATTCCATTAAAGTCCATGATTCTGGCCATCAGATAGAATGCATACCCAGAAAACATAGAGATTTTTATTTCATTAGATCCATAAACTGAAAACTAATTTTTTTAGATAAATAAGTAGAAATGTGGAAAGTAACTGGACATCAGTTGTGTTTCTGCCAGAATATAAGGAAGGAGTCAATCAAAAAAACCATTTATTTAAGTATTTATTATATTCTGGACACCGTAGAAAGGATACAAAGAGGCAAAAAACATGGTAACTCTTCTCAAGGAGTTCACATTCTAATGGTGAAGACATGTAAAAAAGTTTATATACAAGATATATACAATGTGTTTAAACACCTCTTGCAGAAGGTGGAATCTGTGCTGAGTCTTGAAAGAATCCAGGAGACTGAGATAAGGAGGCACAGTATTCCGAATGTGGGAGACAAACAGTGAAAGATGGAGTATCCTGTGCTAGTATCAGCAAATAGGCTGATGGATCAGAGAATTTGTGGAGGGAGTAAAGTGCAAAAAGGCAGAAGAATAGGAAAGGTCCAGGTTGTAAAAGGCTTTCAATGTTAAACAGCATTTTATGTTTGATTTTGGAAGTAACTGGGAGCCATTGACATTTGTTGAGTAGGGAGGATGACATGATCAGCCCAGTGCTTTAGGAAAAAATCACATTAGCATCTGAGTGCAGAATGGATTGGAGCAGGGAGAACTGAGGCAGAGAGACTAACCAGAAGACTGCTTCAAATAGTTTAGGCAAGAAGGGATAACAGCCTGCCCCAGGGTGGTGGCTGTGTGAATGGAGATAAGTGGACCTGAATAAGAGATAATGATGTGAAGGTAGAAATGACAAAGCTTGACAACAGACTGGATAGGTAGAATAAGTAAAAGTGAGGAGGAAAGGATGACACTGAAGTTGGAAGCCTAGATGATTAGGGGAATGGGGTGTCCCTAACTGCAGTAGGAAATTTGGGAAGAGGGAAGGTTTGGGAGAAAGATATTGTTTTGATTTGAGAAGCCTACAGAACAACCTGTTTAAGATATCCAAAAAGCAGTCATTAATGCAAAGCTAGAGCTCAGGAGGGAAAGTAGAGGTACATATGCATAGGTCTGGAATCATCTGCATATAGGTGATAACTAGTTCCATGGGAACTGATGATATCATCAAGTGTAATGGTTTAGGGAGAAGAGAAGAGGAACCAGGTCAGACCCTTGGGAAACACCCACAGCTAGTGGGTATAACTTGGCTGAAGATCCAGCAAAGAGGACTGAGAAAGAATGGTCAAATAGGCGGGAGGAGAGCCAAGAGAGAGCAGTGTCTTGAAAACCAAGAGATGAAAGAGTATCCAGGAGGTGAAGGGGATCAACAGTGTCAAAGGTAGCAGATAGGTCAAGAAGGATGAGGACTGAGAAAAGGCCATCAGATTTGGAAATTAAGAGGTCATTGGCAACTTTGGGGGAAGCAGTTTCAATTGCACTATTAGTTTGGGAGCCAGATTATAGAGGATTTAGAAATGAGTGAGAGAAGTGGGATTGTAGATTGCTTACTCAAGAATTTTAGCCTAGAAGAGAAGGAGAGATAATGATCAATGAGTGTTTTTTAAAAATGAGGAATATATGGGCATGTGGATTGGCAACAGAGCCAGTAGAAAGGGAGAGATTGAAGAGCAGGAGGAGAGTGGGGCTGATGGTTGGGACAACCTACTGGAGAAGACAGGATGGAATGGGATTAAGGGTATACATTGAGAGGTCTGCCTTGCCAAAAATCAGGACTACCCCCCTTTTTTCCTTTTATTATTATTATTGTTAATTTATTTTGATTTATCAATAATCACTTCCATATGCTTTTGAGTTTAAAATTTTTCTCCCCCTTCCTCCCCACCACCCTCCCCAAGATGGTGCACAATCTGATATAGGCTATACATATACATTCCTATTAAACATATTTTCACATTAGTGACATTGTAAGAATTAGAACCAATAGGAGGAACCACCAGAAAGAGGAAACAAAACTAAACAGAAGAGAAAAAAATAGCAAATAGTATGCTTCAATCTGCATTCAAATTCCATAGTTCTTTCTTTGGATGCGGATAGTATTTTCCACCATGAGGTTTCTGGAGATGTCTTAGATCCTTCTATTGCTGAGAAGGGTTAAGTTTATCAATATTAGTCATCGCATAATGTGGCTGTTATTGTGTACAAAGTTCTCTTGGTTCTGCTCACTTCACTCAGCATCAGACCATACAAGTCTTTCCAGGTTTTTCTGAAGTCAGCCTGTTCATCATTTCTTATAGCACAATAGTATTCTGTTACATTCATATACCACAACTTGCTCAGCCATTTCCCAATTGACGGGCATCCTCTCAATTTCCAATTCTTTGCCACCACAAAAAGAGCTGGGGCTACCCCTTTATGTGAGAGCTGGGTGAAGGGAGAGATAGAGGGGGAAGATATCTGAGTGATGTGAGAAGAAGAAGAGAGAAGAGGCAGCTCTAAGCAAATGGCCTCAATTTTTTCAGTGAAATATAAGGCAAGGACCTCAGCCAAGAGAATGGGGGAGGGGTACTGTAATGACCCTGAAGAGGTATGAAAATGTTTAGAATAGTTATGGCACATGGGATGACAGTTCGATTTAAGAGATTGAAAGATTGCTTTGCATAGTGAAGGTCCAGTCGAGGTTATCTAACAAATTTGTAGTAGACCCAGTCAGCATGGTTCAATGATTTTCTCCAGCTGTCTTCAGTAGCATGTGAAGAAGAAGCAAAGGAGGCAGGTCAATAGTATAGGTAATCTACATTTGAGTTTGGAAAGACTTGATCAGTAACAGGAATAAGGGGGCAAGGGATTTATGTAAAAGTTAGAGCAAAGGTTGATTCTTCAAGAAGTCAAGTAGGGAAGGGGGAAGAGTATAATCAGTCTGGAAGGGATAGCCTGGGAAAGAACCTGGAAGTGGAGGAATTGGAAATCATAATGACAGCAAAGAACAGTGTTGGAGTTGTAAAGCATAGGGAAAGATAGAATGATAAAAGATCACGATCAGACAAGAATTTCAGAGTACATGAATATGAGCTCCTAGTATTTCAAGTTTATGTCAATATTAATGTTTTAACTTTCAAAATGAGGTCATATGTCACCAAATCAGAGTATCTCGGTGTTGGAAAGGACCTCAGAGGTTATCTAGTCTAATTAGCACCTGAAAAAGAGGTTCCTCAACAACATCCTCAGCAAGTAGCTAACCAACTTCTGTTAAAAAAGGTCTAGTAGATGCTGGGCAAGTCACTTAACCCTGATTGCCTCATCAAAAAAAGCAAAAAAAAAAAGAGATCTAGTAACAGGAAACTTGCAACCTCCTAGAGCAACATATTCTGCTTTAGAGTTAATAAGTTAGAAACTTTTGCCACCCCTCTGGTTAAAACCTGTTGTTCCTAGATCAGCCCTCTAGGGTCAAGCAGAACAAATATGATGCTTCTTACTGCATAACAGCCCTTCAGATCCTTGGAGATAGCTTTCATGTCTCCCCTAACTTTTCTCTTCTCTATGCTAAACTTCCTCAGTTCTTTTCCATTGAATCTTGCATGACATGGTCTCTTGTCCCCTCAACATCCTGATTAACCTCCTATACACTTCTTCCGGCTTTTCCATGTCCTCAGAACTACATTGTAACCCTAATTCTGTTTCTAATCCTAATACAACCCTAATCTTAACCCTCTGGATTTTCCCTCCCCCCTAATTTCCAATTTAGGAGCAATTTTTTTTACAAAGACCTGACCTGAGGAGGAAAGAGTATGGAAACATCAGTGAGCGTGTAGAATTGAGAAAAATACTGGGTTGCAAATCATTTCAATGGTATTTGGATAACATCTATCCAGAATTGAAGGTATTTCCACTCCCTGCTAAAGAAAATTAACCCTTCTGAATAAAGAGGAAATCAAAATGACCTCATCTTCTGCAACATGGAAGAATGAGAAAATAATCCTATCAGGGAGCTTGCTGTGCATTTTGAAAGCTGTGAAACACATGAAAGATGCAATAAATGGTGTTCTAAAAGAAAATGTTAACTTCATTTATTTAATGATAACCTATAATGCCTGTTATTGCTCTGGCCTAAAGGATACTGACTTCATCTTTCCAAGGTCAAGGACTTTGAAATTTCATATACAGGTAGGGCTGTCACACGATTCACATTTAGGTCTTATCATGGGTTGGGATAGAGATAACGCTATACAATTAGTTCCCACGCTTCTCTACTCTGTAATGATTTTCATTCACTAATCTGACCAGGTGATCTACGGTAAGTTCCTGGCCACAGAAATATATGGGGAACAATTTCTGGCAGTCAAACTCCTTTCTTACCATCTCAACCTTGTACCTATTGTCCAGATTTCTTTGACTGTGTTCTTAATACCACTTTTCCCAGATTTGTGTTTCTGTTCCCAATTTCTATAGCCTACTCATCTGGTTTTCTGATCACTGATGTCTGGTCAGTTTCCTTGTTTGGCTTTGTCCTACTCCCTAGCTCAGTTTAGCAATAGCTAAGTGGCGCAGTGGATAGAAGGCTAGCCCTCAAGTCAGGAAGACCCAAGCTCAAATGTGGCTTCAGGTATTTACTAGCTAGCTCTGTGACCCTGGGCAAGTCACTTAACCTGTCTACCTCAATTACCTCAACTATAAAATGGGAATAATAACAGCAGCACATGCCTTTCAGGATTGTTGTAAGGTTTAAATGAGACAATATTTTTAAAGTATTTAGCTTAGTGTCTGGCATATGGTAGGTACTTAAGACATAGATACTTGTTTCCTTCCTTATTTTCCCTGTCCTCTCTCTCACAATGTATATGCTTGCAAACTAATAGTTTTAGATTTTGCTGACCTGACCCCTGAATACATATCTTAATATACTACCTAATGACCCATGGCTTATTCTGTCTTCATTACTTATATGAATCCAAGCCTAGATTAACCTTAAAGTTGCTGAATTCTGGCCTGACCCTTCACATCATCATGTAGCTTCCCTCATCCATTGTTTTTACAGTCTGCCTGACTGTGCCACACTTTCAGATGTTTAAATTTTTTACAACATACATCATCAAGAGCTGGTGAAGTCATGGGGAAAAGCTACTATGTGCCTGCTAGTGGAAGTGACAAAGCCTTTGAAATGTCTTTTTCTTCACTAAAATAATAAAGAAAATGAGAGAAAAGGAAGAAAAAGAGCATAATTTGAAGAAAGGGGGAAAAGAAAAAAGAATAAAGGATAGGCTTATTTAATACTTAGATCAACATGAACAATTGGAAAGAAGACTATGGTTTTTATTAAGGGAAAACACGACTGTAAAGTTTTCTGGGGGAAAATAATATATGTAGATAAAGAGTTACCAGTATATACAATTTTTTTATACTTTTGAAAAACCTCTGATGCTGTCCTATACCAAAGGCTGTTTTAAAAATTGAGTCACCAATGGGATTAGAAGAATGTTTTATTATGGATATAGAATTGGCATATGGGCAGAAAACAAAGGGTAAGAATAAGCAGACATGTATCTGGAGAGAGAAGTAAAATTTCTGAAGGATCAGTACTAGGATTAGGAGGCAATATGCTGTAATGCAGTATTTATTAAATTGTGTTCTGTGGGATCTTGGGATTCCACAAAGCAGTCCAAAAGGAGTTTGAAAAGAAAAAAAGTTGTAGTGACAGACAAGTACAGAATCATATCTGCTTTCTTTGCTATATATATATATGAATATATATATTATATATATAGATTGATTGATTACACAACATGCGCGTGCGTGCACACACATGCGTGTGTGTGTGTAATGCAATGAAAAAAATTTAAGTTCTTATGGACTTGAAATTAATTATTTAATAGATTCAACATTTGTTGATTGCTCATCTACCTTGGGATTTTTTTAACCATAAATTGTTTTTTTGTACACAAATTCCATAAAGAACATGCTAAGTTCCTCCAAATTAAATCAACATACACTTTAGGTGGCACAGTGGATATAGCTCTGGGCCTGGAATCAGGAAGACCTGGGTTCAAATCCAGCCTTAGACACTTGATAGCTGTATGACATTGGGCAAGTCACTTAACATCTGTCGTCCTCAGTTTCCTTAAATGTAAAATGATGATAACAAAAGCACTTACCTCCCAGTGTTGTTATGGGGACAAAATGAGTTAGTTTGTAAAGCACTTAACACAGTATCTGCCACATAGTAGGTCTGATATAAATGCTAAATATTATTATTATTACTCTAATAATGATTTAATTGCAAAGATGGGCATAAAGGAAGATAGTAAAAAGATGTTGGAAAACATGGCTCAAGATCAAGAAACAAAAGGTTTCAAATGCCCATAGATGGCATTCATGCTTATATACTTACTGGGCTTAGAGTCAGACTCTGAGTTTGAATTCTGGCTCTGTCCCTTCTTACTTTGGTGACCTTGGATAAAGTCATTTATTCTCTCTGTTTCCTTATCTGTAAAAAGAGGAAGTTGAACTAGTATTGATACCTTTCCCCTACCCTCCCTTCCCCAAATTACTTTGCATTATATTTGTATGTAGACCTGTTCTCTCAGAATAGAATATAAACTCAACAGCAGGGACTGTTTGATTTTTATCTGGGCATCCCTAGTGCCTAGTATAGTTCCTGGCACAGAGTAGTGTTGTGAATGAAATTAAACAAAAAGGTAAACTGAGGTACATTTCTCCAAGCAAGATAGCATTTTATTCACAGAGTATGAATCCTGAGAATAAAATGGATCCATGGCTTCCCTCCACTTATGCTAAAGACTCTGAACAAAAGGACAGCTCCCCTTTTATAGGTTTTGAGGAGTACAGAACAAAGAACAGAACAGAGTAGGTGACATCATGGGGCTGAGGACAACATGATTGGTTATAGGGCTGAAGCATGGAGAATAATATGATTGGCTGGAAGTTGGAAATGGGAGCTAGCCACAACCCCCCTCCTTCCTGTCCGTGATGAAGAAGTATCATTGTATGAGTCTCCCTGCAAGATAGTGGCCTAGACTTCTTTGGTTAGCAAACCAGACATCTTTGAAGGATGGTTTGGTTGTATAAAGATATTAGGCCTGACTCCCTTATGGCAAACTTCATCCCCCAAGGTTAGCAGAATTCCTTGGGGCAAGAATAGAACATTGTTTGGTAAGAGAACTGGATTTCTAAACTTAATCCATTACAGGCCAGCTGAATTCTGAACTAAGTTCAGAGGCAGAGAACTATGACTTAGGTAGTTGCAGAAGCAAAATCAATTAACTGTAAATAGTATTGATAAGAAAATGATACAGGAGCAAATGCTTGTTTGTTGATTGACTAAGTGACCTCTGTGGTCCCTTCCAGTTGTAAGTGTATAAATACTTTGTTCAAGAAAAAAGTTAGGAGATGCAGGAGATGGTCAATATGGAATAACATCCCAAGAAATAGTTATCTCTATCTTTTTAATATATCTTTCTATTTATTTTGTTAAATATTTTCCAATTACATTTTTAAAATTTGGAGTTCCAAACTCTTTACCTCCCTCACCCCTTCAGAAAACAAGCAATATGATATCAATTATACATGTGAAGTCATACAAAACACATCACTTCTATATTAGCCATGTTGCAGAACGAAACACTAAGAAGGAAGGAAGGAAGGAAGGAAGGAAGGAAGGAAGGAAGGAAGGAAGGAAGGAAGGAAGGAAGGAAGGAAGGAAGGAAGGAAAGAAGGAAAAGAAAAGAGGAAAGAAAGAAAGAAGGAAAGAAAGGAAAGATGGAAGGAAGGAAGAAAAATATGCTTCAATCTGAACTCAAAGTTCATCAGTTCTCTTTCTGGAGATGGATATTATTTTTCATTATGGGTCTTTTGGAAATGTCTTGGATCACTGTCTTGATCAGAATAGCAGGGCAGCTAGGTGGCGCAGTGGATAGAGCACCGGCCCTGAAGTCAGGAGGACCTGAGTTCAAATCTGACCTTAGACAAACACTTGACGGTCATTAGCTGTGTGACCCTGGACAAGTCACTTAACCCCAGTTGCCAAAAAAAAAATTCTCCTTGATTAGAGTAGCTATTTCTTTCACAGTTGATCATCCTTACATTATTGCTATTAATGTGTACAGTGTTCTCCTGGCTCTCTTTACTTCATTTTATTTCAGTTCACATAAGACTTCCCAGGTTCTTCTGAAACCATCCTGCTCATTATTTCACAATAAATATTCCTTCATAATCATATGCCATAACTTGTTCAGCCATTCCCTAACTGATGAGCATCCCCCTCAATTTCCAATTCTTTGCCACTATGAAAAGAGTTGCTATAAATGTTTTTCTATAAATGAGTTCTTTTCCCTTTTCTTTGGATCTCTTTAGGATATAGACCTAGCAGTAGTATTGCTAGGTCAAAGGGTATGCACAATTTTATAGCCATTTGGGCATAGTTTCAAACTGTTCTCCAAAATGGATAGACCAGTTCACATTTCCATCACAGTACATTAGTGTCCCTATTTTTCTACATCCCCTCCACATTTATCATTTTCCTTTTCTGCCATGTTAGCCAATCTGATGAGTGTGAGGTGATCATTTCTCTAACCAATAGTGATTTAGAGCATTTTTTAATGTGAATATTGATAGCTTTGATTTTTTTCTTCTGAAAACTACCTGTTCATTTCTTTTGACCATTTATCAATTGGGGAAAAACTTTTTTAAAAATAAATTTGGCTTAGTTCCTCATATATTTGGCCTTTATCAGAGAAACTTGCTGTAAAATTTCCCCCCCAATTTCCTATTTTCCTTCTAATTTTGGCTACATTAGTTTTCTTTGTGCAAGGTGCCTATATCTTAACATATAGGACTTATACAGACAGCTGGTTCCAAAGTTATTCCCACCTAGATAAACATTCTCTTGCTATGTGCCAGACATTGAAGGATGGATCAATTCTCAAAACATCTTTTAAAAGGGTCGCTACCGAATAAGTGGAAAAATCAAGGATATTATTGCAGTGCACAAAGAAAATTGGTACGGAGCCCAGCTCACGGTG